ACGGGTTCAATACCGTTGCCTCCGAATCGCGCTTGGCTGTATGCACTCGACGCATACGATGAGCCTCGGAGTACTCGCGGGTGTTCTCCCACTGACAGATCGTTTCGCGGAACTGTCCTTCCGGTTTCTTATCCGTTGTGAAGTAATGAACCCATTGGTAATAGAAAACTTTGAGAAGCTGCTCGACAGAAATCCTCAAACAAGATTCATGAGTCTCTATTACGAGTACGTGACGCTGGAGATTGGCCCTTCTTCATTCCATTCCTCTCGTGTTTGCCTCCAAGACTTTTATAGTTCCTCTGTAAATTTTGATCTGACCATGTTGCAAGAAATCCGTGGAATACCAGATCACCATCGGTCGATGGTTGTTCCCTTAATTTTTGCAAACAATTACAACCATGTTAGTAACAATAAGAATTTTTTCACAGATGGGTCATTTTTTTTCTTTTTTTTTTCCTTTATTAGAGAGGTTTTTAGCCTAAGGCTAGTTCATCTCTTCATACATGGGTCAGTTACGCTTCCACTGGATTTGGAGTATTCAACGAATTTCATAGCGCCTCATATCAACTGCAATAACTCTGTTCCGTATACGTTGCGGAACTAGCAGCCATATTCTACGCAGTAGAGCAAATTGCCTCACTACCACCTGATCACTATTTTATCTTTACAGATAGCCTTAGCTCGTTGGAGGCTATTCGATCAATGAGGCCGATGAAGCACTCCTCGTATTTCCTGACCGAAATCCGAGCATAATTGAGTACTTTATCTAACTGCTCCTATACTATCACCTTAGTTTGGGTCCCATCTCATTGCTCAATTCCGGGTAATGAGAAAGCGGACTCGCTAGCTAAGGTGGGCGCTATGGAAGGCGATATTTTGACGTAGGACTACGTCTTTGATTTCTATATGGGGATACACTTTGTGAAAACCGAAAATGGAACATGTAACAAATTAAGAAAGATTTTGAACGTTAATAACTCAGCTGCCTCTGGTCCAATTTCAATAATTTTATCACCAATCGATCAGAAATATGGCTACGCATCGATAACAATTCTTCCGAATGTTGATTTTCAACAAGAAACTATTGAAAAACTGGTAAATGTCCAGCATTGTCCAAAAGCGTCGAATTAACTAACATATCCACCAATTACCTACATGCATATGCTGCTTCCCCAGCACAGTCGTCAGAGAGTAGTAAGTAGACGAAACAAGTCCAAGTGGCATTCGCCTCCGATCTTTGAGCCCGTGCGAATAGGGAAGATGGAATTGCGTAATATTTTGCACACTCATCGCCATATTCAGAACCAAACGCAAATTCTTCGAGATATCCACCATCCTTCGCCTGGCTCGCCGTGGCGGTGTCTGACGTATCTCCGGTCTGATTTACGAGGTGTGCTGAAGGTGTTCCTAAACACGCCAAGCGTAAGTGGCCATGGATGTCATCTACGTTTTGAAGTGACAGAGACGCACTCTGTTTGGTTTCGGAGGTTAAATCATCACCAACTTTGGCAACAAAACGGCACTTTTCAGGGCCACCAAGCTTATTACAGTAAAGAGTAGGAATACAATTCATCGGCCTGTTTGTCCATATTCAGAACCAACAATCACACAAAATGCTCATGTAATCAAACTGGAAGCAGGGGTACACATTATTTTGATCAACCTTGATCAACTTTGAATCGCCACGGCCGGATATTTTCGATGGAAGAAGCAACAATCTAGCATCTAATTCGACGAAGACGGCAGGAAACATTTGTGAAGCCGAGTTATTTACGAAAGAGAGTGTCGATGGAGAGAATCGATCAATGTAGTTAGGACCTATTGAAAAGTGACGCGAGATTTGTTTTCCGTACTAAGCTCCAATGCTACCGACACCAGGGAGGCAGCTTCCACACCTGGACCCTACCAATCGACCCATCAACTCAACCGGGGACCAACGGCTTTACTTCCCGAAGGAAGGCGTGATCAGAGATGTTATGCCTTAGAACATGCCGGTGGCGCCGACTGAGATTGGACCCAGGCCTGCTGGGGTGAGAGGTTTTCCCGAATTTGCGAAAAGTAAAGGTTGGATTCACTCAGTCTATTGGTACTACTCCAAGACTGGATAAAATTTTCGTCAATTTCCTCATTTTCTGGCAGATTTTTTAGGTTTTCCACAGGAAACCATGAGACAAATTTACACATCGCTGAGTTCCTGCACTTTTGAAGATTATGAGTGAACTAAACTTAAATTTGGGTCGTTCTCATTCGCCGTGTACGCAAAAGGAAAAGAGCCAGTGTCGCTACTTGATAGCAAACTACTCATAGCGTTTACACCACTTGGTTGCACATCATTCTGCTTTAACCTGAAAAGATATAAAAGAGCGCTACTGTATGGCATTAGCTCATTTTCGCTTCGGACGGCGTGGTGAACAGCGAAAGCAGCAGTAGGAATGTGGTGGCTAGTCCACTCAAGCAACAATTGTTGTGGTAAAGGAGGCGCCAAGCGTCATCGCAAAGTTCTTCGAGATAACCGCCATCCGTCGTCTGGCTCGCCGTGGCGGTGTCAAACGTATCTCCGGTCTAATCTACGAGGTGTGCTGAAGGTGTTCCTAGAAAATGAGGTCCGTGATGCTGTCACCTACACTAATCACGTAAAGCGTAAGTGGCCATGGATGTCCTCTTCAATAAAACGGCCCTTTTCAGGGCCATCAAGCTTACATCAATAAAGAGTTAGAATAGAATGTATCTGTGCTTGTATGTCCATATTCAGAACCACAAGCCCCCAACGACCACACAAAATGCTCTCCAGAGTTGTAATCTTGTAACCAAACTTGGAAGCAGGGGTGCAAGTGATTTTGATTTATTCTCTTAATCAACTTTCTCTTTGAAAAAAAAATACTACAAATTTGGTACGCCTACAATTTAAAAACGGAAAGAGTTGAGATAATAGATAATTGATCAATTAAAAGAACTAACTGCTCTTCACATTTATTCCGTCCACTAGCGGTCCTACGTCAAGCTTCCGTTCGTGCCCCTAGGCACAGACCCTTCTACTTTTTGATCCACAAATCGCCTTTGCGGAATTTTTCTTAATTACCCGTAAGCACGTCTTCACCAACTGGCAACAAAAATGGAATGAGAGTGATCTGGGAAGATGGTTACATTCTATTCTCCCACAGGTATCGAACAAGCCATGGTTCAAAGGATTGGACATGAGCCGTGAATTTATATGTGTCATGTCAAGGCTCATGTCTAATCACTACTCGTCAGATTCACATTTCTTCCGAATCGGGCTCGCAGGCAGCAATTTGTGCGCTTGTGGTAGTGGCTATCACGATATCCACCACGTGCTTTGGTCATGCACCCTACATTGTGTTGCTAGATCTGAGTTATCCGCATCCCTCAGGGCCCGAGGAAAACAACCTATGCGGCCCGTTAGAGACATCTTGGCGAGCCGAGATCTCGAATATTTTAATTTAATTTATATGTTTTTAAAACGGATCGATCTGAGGATTTAGTAGTTAGTGTCATCTTGTGTTCTCTCAAGTTGCTAGGTCTCCATCGGTGTACCCCCATGTTTGTCTTTTTCTCCAGTATGTCGCTTAGTTATAAATCAAGAGCACATTGCTCTAAAAAACCTTGTGTTCTCAATCCCTACCCTGCCACCCGTTTGTTACAATGTGTTGTCCTTAACTTCGAGATAGCCCCGAGTAATCGGCTCCCGGTTTACTAACGTTAGTTTTAAGTAATTTTGTAACCCAAACGATGAATATCGGCTCCGCAAAGCTACGGCAAATGAGCCTGGAAAAATAAATGCAATAAAAAAAAATAAAGAAAGACCTCGTCATACTAGCAGTTGTCGGTGTCGTATTGTCTTTTGTTTTCATGTACAAATAAAGAAAATTCAATTGTCATGTGAATCGCTTCATTTTTTTCATAATGATGTTAATAACTCGGTCACACCTAAGTCTTCATGAATACTTGTGAATAAAGTATCTGAATAACCATTTTTACATGATTGATTTGTTTGAGCTCTAAGCTTGCAGTTTTGTCAAAAATAAAATTCAATGTTTAATTTTCCCCAGCGGCAGGAAGTGAGATGCTCGCATTTTCAGTGTCTTGAATAAAGTCAATACTACGCTGATTAAAGTATCCGTATATGTGAACTATTACTTATTGGGGAAGTCTGGACGTGAAGCTCGATATGGAGTATTTTTGGTGGCAGAATATCCTTCGGAAAAATGACCCCTTCGGCGATTTTTTTTTCGAAAAAATGCCCCGCATCCATAAATAACGTAGCATTTGAGGACAAAGGGGGTGGTTTTAGAAGTTGTGACCGGCCGCTTCTAACTTACTGCAACTTTAAAAGTATTTACCCCATCAAAATAAATTCTCTAACTTCACCACGGAAATAGGAAATTGGAATAAATATACCCGCGTAAAAACCGACTACAGTGTATTAGGAATAGCAAAATATCGAAGACAACAAATCAAGAAGACTGGCAAGTCTTCCATTTTCTCATAAGAACGCTATGAGACAGGTACAATCGCGTCATCTGTCGCTCAAATGTAAATGCTTCGAACGAATTTGATAACAGACGAAAGGTTTGTGTATTTGCTTATTTTACTATGCGTTGCTTCCACCTTCACTCAAGCGCAGCGCTACTGTATCTGTCGCTTGGATTCTGGCAAAGTTGCCAGTCTTCTTGATTTGTTGTCTTCGAAAATATGCTACGAGGGGGGGGGGGGGGGGTTCAAAAATGGTAAAAATATGCTACGTCAATTATGGATGTTTCCTTGCTGTATAACATTTTGATTTTGATTTCTTTCCCGTATACTTTTTTCTACAAAGTCAAATTGATTTTCCACAACATCTTCTTGATGAAATCAATGCTTTTAGGATTATGATTTTTTGAAAAATACATAAGTGAAATCACACACGCCCTTTTTGAACATTTAGTCTTGATTCTGAATGATTTGGCAGAGAAATGCTCCTATGTGATGTATTTTTTACTTACCACATCTATCAACTGTGACAGTTTTAGTTTGATGCACACTCGTAGCACATCCGATGTGTTCACGACAGGTCGCACTAGTTTGTTGTAATTGCTTAGCAAGTCGTCATATAGTCGCTTGGCATCGGGGTTTCCGGCAACCGCTCCGTGTACTACGAGTGCTGAGAGAAGCCACGCTCGTAGTGTTTCCCCAGCAGTTGGCGGCATATTTTTCATTTTTCGTAATTAATTTCAACTCTACACGTTTTACACTCCAATGCTTCTATACATATGTATGCAACATTTTACTAAAGTATTAATAGTAATGTGTTATATCTAAAAGGACAAAACAAACCACTTATGAAAATTAATTGTAAAATGTAATAGGATATTTCAACATTTAAACAACAATGTATCAACATTAAATTAAAGACCTAAACATTAAAGTAGCTTCACGTTCAATGTACTACTACACCTAATTGTCGGTCATTATAGCTATATTTTAAGAGTAAGTGCAGCACCAGCTTACATTTTGCACAGAAAAATCAAATTTCACTTATTCCATACCAGTGTACATAGTCGCTTTTTCTAATTGATTTGCCCTAATGTTTTCTCTCGATTCCACTTCATTCATATGGCGAAAATTTCAACGTTTGAACCTTGTTTCGTAATCTTCAAACCATTATTATTAGTCAAGTGAAATGACACACGATTATATTTATCACGTATGGTTTCGCTATTCAATTTGTACAACAAAGGACTGATTGTGTCGTCAGAGCAGGGCTTATAATTTATGATATAATTTATGAATGAACGAAAGAGTTCTCTTCACTACATTCTTGATGTATATGTATTTACGTCTATATGTATTTGGGCTTGGCTCATGTCACAAAAGGAAGAAAATATACACCCATGCGAGGGAAATTTCAAAGTGTTACATAAAAATGGCTAAGTATCGATCTACTTTCACTTTCAAATAACTACTGGATGTAAAAGATAAAATGTGATGTATGATCATAATTCTATCTTAAAAAATGCGTTTAGCACTGCCACAAAAAACATAATTACATTTTAAATAAATGGTTTTAAGCCATGTTTGTCAAAAACAAAACGATTTATTTATAAATATTGCCAGTTTTAACATTGCATAATAATGAATGTATCACCAGCATTAACTAGACAAATTATTTTATAAAAAATCTAATCTATATATATAAAATATATGGTGCAATGTAGATCAATCATTCCTATAAACACTTTAAAGTTTTTGCTGATGAATATGATTCCGTGTCTTTTCAATATATTCTGCTGATGGAATCATTATTACCAACAACTAACAAGAAGAAAATTTTCACCATCAATAATTATCTTGACTTTTTACACTTTCCACACAAAGAAGATAAATTTGACGACCGACCGTATCGACACTCAGTTACTCACTGAAAATTTTTGATCTGATGTGCTTCTATTACATCTATACAGTACCATTCAGATACTCTAAAAAGACCAGTATGAGTGAACAAAAAGCTTCATCTCACAGGAAGATTTACACTTGATTCAAACCCAGCATCCACGCTGATTATTCCGGTTGTTTTGTCAGAAGCGCGCAAACTCTATGAGCGGAAAGAGAAAATTTGCACAGCAAACCAAAACAGAGAGAAATTATTTCTGATTATCAATCCACCACTACAACCTGTTTCTTGAATTTGCCAATCATATATAGTAACCCTCTACACTATTAGATTAATCAAAACATAAGAATATGTTCCTACCTAAGCCAAATGTTAATCGAATGCTACGAACTTATCATCCTTCCTGGCCGTGCGGTAAAAGACAACAATCATTTAGATGCGTTGGGTCATAAAGGATTGGATCAGCAGGAGAAACTAGTCAAAATAATAGCTGAACTTACAGTACAACCCTTAGCTGCGACGAGGAATGTTTTGCTTTTTTCTACACCGTGTTATTCAAATGGGAGCGGTTAAGGAGTGAATGAACTAGAATGTTATCTTAAGGGACAGTCATCTACGAATTTTTAGCAGTTCGAATTGCATGAAAATTCTTTGTTATGGGCACTCATTCACAGTTTGTTAAAATGCAACCATTTTGGATATTGAAAAAAAAATCTCTATAACGTCTATAACTTTTTTCAATAAGTATAAGGATGTTTATAAAAAATTGCATTAAAGGCGTTTTTTCAATTTTGTATGCACAAAATATTCTAGGTTGGCGATACTTTGGGGTTGGGATAAGATGGAGCAACCAGGTGGAAGGATACCTACGGAGCATTTATTTTTATTTTTTTATGACTTTATTAGGGCTTTTAGCAACAATCAATTCGAAACTAACGATTTTAAATTGGCTCACTACTTGTCTAGCCTATTGATCCCAAGCAAACCATTAACGTACTCCATTCTAGTCGAAATTCTAGTACTACACTTTGTTTGTTTTGATTCACTAGGCAAGTTTGATAGATAAAATGAGGGGTTCGTGGATTTTCCTATGTTTCGAGGGGTGCATCGATTAGCTTGGGACCGAAGATAGTACCAGAGCTGAGCTAAAAAGCTGAGCTCGTTTCTTCGGGACCTTAGAGTTACATCTATGCTATAATAGTGTACGTTAATCGATTTGCTTGGGACCAATAGGCTAGTCAAGTAGTGAGCCAATTTAATATCGTTAATTTCGTATTGATTGTTGTTAATACGGCGTCTAAAGGTCAAATACCCATTGGGTATTTTCTCTTGAAATTTTGGGTAGTTTAGAGTGTATTGTTTACACTGTATTTTTATCGCTGACATTTTTTTGAAAGTTGGAAAAAATTGCGTCACCCAAAAGCAACGTCGCGAATTGATTTTGCGCAATCATCTGGAAAATCCTCAACTCTCTCATCGGGACATGGGAAAAAAAACTCGGAATCGTGCAGTCGTGTAATTAAACGTTACTATGAAACTCTGAGCATCGAACGGAAGGAGAAATGCGGTCAAAATGGATGTTCTATTAGTGATCAGGATCACAAGCGTGTCGTGAAAGCGTTGAGGCGGAATCCCAAGGCTTCGGTCAGGGATGTGGCCAAAAAAAAGCATCTGTCCAAGTCTTACGTTCAGAGAGCCAAGGACCGGGAGGGACTGCATACGTACAAAGTGCAGAAGGCTCCAAATCGTGACGAACGCAAAATACGGTGGGCAAGTCACGGGCCCGGAAACTGTACACCCAGTTGCTGACGAAACCTCATTGTCTCATCATGGATGATGAGACTTACGTCAAGGCGGACTTCCGGCTGCTTCCAGGACAGTAGTTCTTCACCGCCCAGCACTAGCTTGATGTTCCAGAAAAAGTAAGGGAGCAGAAACTTTCAAAGTTTGTAAAGAAATACATGATTTGGCAAGCGATCTTATGATTATGATTATGAACAGTATTAATGATTATGAACAGCCCCTTAATGATTACACTAGTTTACAGCATTTTTGAACTCGGTAAGGGGATGATTATTTCCAATGCAAAATCCTACGCTGAATTCAATACCGTGGTCAGAAAAAAATAAAGTAGAGCCATTTTTGAGATATACAAAAATTTTGATTTTTTGAATTTTGGACAAAAGTACGATTAATAAATTTCAATATCTTTGGAACTAGAGCACCAATTTTAAATCTTTTTTTATTAAAATGAAGCTAAATAAATTTGCTATTGTTCACTAGAATATTATGTCTTAAGTAAAAATTTAATTTTGAAGTCATTTAAAAATTTACAGCATTTTTTTTATTTTTCCTGCGAATTTTCCATAAAAATCTTGTTTTAATCAACATTTTTAATGGGATAAAAAGATTTAAAAAAAATCATTCCATAATTTATTCTTAAAGTCCATTCAAAACCGGAGAAAATGAGCTTTTAATGGATGAAATCGGTTGGAAATTGTCGAAGTTATGAGCATTTTTGTAAAACACTTAAAAATGTTGCTGAAATACAACAGCTTTAGAGTTCCTTTTCTAGGTGTCGTTGTAAGCATCCAAATCGCATGTAAAGTTTTCATGGGAGATTCTTTTCTCTACATATCAATTTGATTAAAGCATATCAGGATTTAAAACCGAGTTGATACAAAAGAAATTTATTTAGGTTTTATTAAAAATGATTGAGAATCGAATGACTTTGTCTTCGATGTTTTGAACTCTCATTCCCTTGATGCAGTAAAACGGCTTTCAAGCTCAACTTGCTGCTATCGATGAATAAACGCCATTCAGCTGGATCATATGGCTCACCAAACTCTTCAAACAAGCCGTTTACGTCATGGCAAAAACATGCCTTGTCCTTTGTAGAATAATATTTGTCAAATTTCTTGTGACGATTCCTATGACAAGAAATTTTGACCTCCTTGCTCAGCATGTTGTGTTCTTTCAAGCGTGATGCCAGCAATTCGGATTTCTCCTTCGATAAGTCGAGATCTCGCACCAAATCATTAAATTCGGATTGTGTAAACAGTTTTGGGTTTCTTTCCAATTCCACCTCGAAGTCTTCCTCGCATTCCTCCTTGAATTCCTCCTCACTTTTTGTAACGGTCGATTCAACAGAGGGCGCTCGTTTCCACTTTGGATAAACAGGATACGGGACCGAACTTGAATGTGGAACAGGTTTTGTCATAGAAGCCACTTGTGGATACTCAAGTGTTTTGTGACGTCCTTGTTGCTTAACTTTTGTCAAGCAGAAATAACAATCCGTTGCATGACAAAACGGTCGACGCCATATGGTGGGCATGTCGAAGGACAAATAGCGACTGACAGATAACAAATAAGTGAGTTAGTAAGTAAGACATTAACACTTATCAAAAATAGATGAAGTAAGATAATGTCGATCAGGAAAGAACAAAGCACTACCATGCTGTACATAAATTGTTTATATGAAATTTATTCAAAAAATCAATTTACCTTGCGCCTGACATCCACCTAGCCAAGCACGTTTTGCACGAACTACATAATACTTTTGGAATCCACGGTTCGTCAAAGTCTCCAGGATCAATTTTAAAATAAAGCCTGTAAGCAGTTTGCAACGAAGCAGTGAAATTGACCGATTTTGTAAATATATAGTTGCCACACGCGTAACAAAACTTTTGAGGATCATTTTTACACTTGAATTCACGTTTTGTCGTTAAGCAATGTTAAAGAAAGAAAGCTGTCAAATTGAGTTGGTTGCGTTAGGTTCTCGCCGAGCGGTCTCACAAACACTAGCGTAAATTATATTGTTGAAAATATCCCATTTAATTTTGCGTGACAGCTGGTAGTGTTAGTGAAATGCACCGTATGCGTACACGTCCGCAGAAAGGCTTACTGGAAGTGGTGCATGAACCTAGGAGCGGGACAACGGCCAATCTTGGAACATTCAATTTCCATGATTTTACAAAAAATTTCATAACTTCGACAATTTCCAACCGATTTCATCCATTAAAGGCTCATTTTCTCCAGTTTTTAATGGACTTTAAGAATAAATTATGGAATGATTTTTTGAATCTTTTTATCCCATTAAAATGTTGATTAAAACAAGATTTTTATGGAAAATTCGCAGGAAAAATAAAAAAAAAATGCTGTAAATTTTTAAATGACTTCAAAATTAAATTTTTTATTAAGAAATAATGTTCTGCTGAACGATAGCAAATTTATTAAGCTTCACTTTCATAAAAAAAGATTTAAAATTGGTGCACTAGTTCCAAAGATATTGACATTTTAGTAATCGTACTTTTGTCCAAAATTCAAAAAATCAAAATTTTTGTATATCTCAAAAATGGCTCTACTTTAATTTTTTCTGACCACGGCATTGAATTCAGCGTAGGATTTTGCATTAGAAACGTTGGTCAACCACTAAAGTTCACACTTTTTATGTTGTTTTGTAAACTAGTGTTATGAACAGCCCCTTAATTGTGTTTGATGTGTAGCATGACCATTTTCTGATAAAGTTGATTGTGGGCACCGACAATAAGGTAGTTATTTTATTATTTTGATGCATCATTTCTTCACAGATTTATGATATTTGATGAGTGAGCAATATAGCGGCTCTGCAGCTAAACCTGACTTTATTCGGCATAACCCAAGTAACAATTTCCAGTTGAAGAAACGCTTTCGTTTTGATTTTGTTCAGCTGCATGTTGAATAATAATTGCACAATGTGTTCACCACAACTTTTATAAAACCCTTGTTTACACTGGTTTGGAGAACCTATACAACTGCAACACAAAGGTGTTGTCTAACGTATTCAGTAAAACGTTTACCCAAAATCAATTTCTTTTTAAAGAAACGCTTCCATTGTGATTTTATTCAACTGCATGCTGAATAATAACTGTACAATTTGTTTATTACAACTTCTGTAAAACTCTTGTTTACACTGGTTTGGAGAACCTGTTCAACTACAGCATTATATGTATACGCGGTATAGGAGTAG